GCAAAAATTGATTAGTGAAGAATTTTGTCTATGATTTCTTTACTTTTGCCTTGCTGTTGCTTGAAATTTCCTGGACCTTAACTATTACTTTGAATAATTTTTTTTTTGTATGGTGAAGGTTGATGGATCTTGAAGAGGGTTCTGGGACTGAAGATAGTGACACTGAGTTATTAGAGAAGTCTCACTTTGCTGAAGTTCCTGAGGACTGCATAAGGTATCATGTAAAGTGTGTTCAGACTTGGGACTTGATTATAAGATGAGAGTGAACGCTGCAGTTTGTCTTGCTTGAGCATGCAATTAAATGATGAAAGACAATTATGCCCTTAGCCTGCTGATTTTTCCAACCTATAAACGGCATCTTAAGTTTGTTAACCCATTAAATCACGTGTTTGGTCAATGCTCTTCCTATTACATGAAAAATGTCTCAGTATTAAAAGTAGTGAGACCTTTTCAGTGATTCCCCCAGAACAAAGTGGTTTCCACAGGGTCCGATGTTGCTTCATGCGTGACTGATAGCAGCATATAAGAAAGAATTAGGGAGAATATATTTGGAGAACCCTTTTTCCGAGAACCTGGCATTTTACTTTTCAACTCTACAAGTATTCAGAACCTGAATGTTGATGTCCCAGAGATACAACTAGCTCATCAAAAAGAACCTGCTGTGTTGATATGGTTGTTGAAATGACATGAATGTTGAAAATGTGCGAGCATTAGATTAAGTTGCTATTTTTCCTACCTATTTAGCTGTTGGTGAAGTCTTGCTATGTCAAAGGATGTCAAGAAACCATTAGCTGCAAGGAATACTTGGCTAGTCCTCCTGTTGTAGCGCACCTGTACTGCTTGCTATACGGTACTAGCATCTGGTTTTGTGCTACTGCTCGGACGAATGTTTGCCTCAACTTTCCAAACCAGTCAGCATGCTTTTCTAGATTATTGATTCTAGAGCTAATGTCTTCGTTTCATTTTGCTGCAGGATTGAGAAGAATGGTTCCGAGCTGCTAAGCAGGAATAGGTGGTGTGGCATAGTGTACAGGCGAGGGCAGAAGCAACTCACCCGCCTTTTTCTCAAGGAAGCAGAACAAGCTTTGCATCTAGCGCTTAGTGAGGGGAACTAGTAAAAGTTTCTTTTTTTTTTTTCTCTCCCTCTCTCTTTTTTGAATGACAGTAGCAAGATATTCACAAAATGCATGTATGTCTAGTTTCAACAAATGCAGTGACATCCCTTCCATTTACATGATTTGCTTATCTACATTGTGTCTTCTCCTTACCCTCTCTCTTTTAAACAAAACATCATTATAGGACAGATAGAGGGGAGAAAGATTTCAACCCAAAATTTTTAATTTCTGAGATTTAAATCTTAATCATTATACAAGATCTCCTCAGCTCAACACTACTAAGTTGCAAACAGGACCTGTTTTCTGTTTGCTATCGCCCTATTGCCCCTTTAAGACCAAGAGCTCTTCCAGAGTGAAGACTGTAATCAAATCCACCTATGTGCTCTTCTTGTCCCAGACCCAGTCTCTCTTGGAATCCTGGAGCAATCCAATCCACCTATGTAACGGAGTCGATCCACCAAGGTGGTTTTGAGCAGCGGTGTAGGATCAGGTTCCAAAGATAGCAAGTCTTTTCTTACGAAAGAAAGTCTTTTTCAAAAATTCTATATAAATTTTATATGAAGCCGAGATAGTTACCTTTCAGAAAATTATGACGATAGAAAAACTTTAGCCCGCTGAAGGTGGGAAAAAGGACAAAACTAAATAAAACGGATTGGATTATGAGTCCGAATCTACGAGTATACGGTGTAACTTTTCTTGACTGGAAAGGATAAAAAGACTAATCGCAATCAAATGGGAAGAGAAAGAAGGGAAATTCAAGCATTGAAAAAAGTTTGCCAGAATAACATGCCATGTGCTGTGCGTTGATTTCAAGATCAATCCTAATTCCTAACAACACGAACAGGTATGGCATAATGGCAGTTTGTGAAAAGTGGGTCAATTTCTTCATCTGCTTCTTAGCATCAAAGTTTCCCCTGCAGCTTCATTGGCACTTTTCTTCTGCCTCAACAAATTGGAACTGCGACTCTTGGACTACTCTGCTCCATGCACAAGACAACACTCTTTTACACAGGGAATCACGTTGGACATTTTTGCGTTCATTTGTTTTGCCAAAGACAATAAGGGCCAAGTTGCAGGTAAAATCAACCATTCATTTCTAATTTCCTGCACCATTCTAAATCTAGTGCGTTGAAAGTTGCAAACTGGTGGAAGAAGAAAAAAAATATATAGACACTATAGTGGACTTTAATATAGATTAAGGGTGCGTCTGATAAAATTCAGACCTAAAAACTAAAATTTGAAATGCTAAATTATTAAACACCAATATATTTGACTATATATCACATTAAGTGATAAGTAAATTACTTATCACTTATTTTTTGGAATAAGTTTTGGTTAAATGATTTAGCGTCACTCAATCAATTCAGATATGTTGGTGATATTTTCAAAACAATAACGTTCTTGCTTGAGTATACTTTTCTCAAGATTACACTCAATTAGTCAATTCCATATATTCTTCTTGATTTTATTTTAGTCAAAGTAAGGTAGGCACGCGAGATCTGCTGCGGAGTATATCCTTGGTATTTTGAGAATTGAGGGATAATACATATTATTATTATCAAGCCTGATTTCTCATAAAATTAGCATTCATTTTCATTCTTGACCTCGTCTTTGATGACCAAATAATGACCAAAAGGACCAGAAATGCAAATGGAATAAGGCCAATTCTGTTCTTTAACAGTTAGATGCATGTTCTATTTGGACTAAACCACCATCATTGCTCAATTCTAGTTCTGGTAATCTGCCTAACCCTCTTAAAATCTCAAGTTTACTGAACTTTTCGTACAGACCCGCGAATCATTGCTCAATTCTAGTTCTGGTAATCTGCCAAACCATCTAAAATCTGTGAATTATTTAAAATATCAAATCTGTGAATGTGTTTTACCTGTTATCCATTGGTATCCTAAAGTATCATTTTTCCATCAAATACCAGCTCTTTAACATCTATTTTTTCATAAACGAATTTATTTATCCGATAAAATAAAAATATACCCGTTTTCGAAAAAATACTATTTCCAATAAATAGCTGATGTTTTATTGAAAAACGGGTTTATTTTCATTTTATCCAATAAATAAATTTGTTTATGGAAAAATGGGTACTAAAGAGCTGGTATTTGATGGAAAAATGATACTTTAATATGCCAATGGATAACAGTTAAAACATATTCACGGATTTGGTATTTTAAATAGTCACAAATTTGGTATTTTAAATAATGACGATTAATAAGTTTACTGAACTTTTCGTACAGACCCGCGAATCATTGCTCAATTCTAGTTCTGGTAATCTGCCAAACCATCTAAAATCTGTGAATTATTTAAAATATCAAATCTGTGAATGTGTTTTAACTGTTATCCATTGGTATCCTAAAGTATCATTTTTCCATCAAATACCAGCTCTTTAACATCTATTTTTTCATAAACGAATTTATTTATCCGATAAAATAAAAATATACCCGTTTTCGAATAAATACTATTTCCAATAAATAGCTGGTGTTTTATTGAAAAACGGATTTATTTTCATTTTATCCAATAAATAAATTTGTTTATGGAAAAATGGGTACTAAAGAGCTGGTATTTGATGGAAAAATGATACTTTAAGATGCCAATGGATAACAGTTAAAACATATTCACGGATTTGGTATTTTAAATAGTCACAAATTTGGTATTTTAAATAATGACGATTAATAAGTTTACTGAACTTTTAGTAGAGACCCGCGAATCCAATAAATGCATCGTCATGCTTAGCCATTCAAGAGTACAAGCCGCCCTCATCTATACGTTTACTAGTAAATACCAAAGGCGGATTTCACCTCCTAATTTGAGGCATGGAGTCTAATTAATTATTAGGTTGGTGATACAGAGAAAGTTGTGATTCTACTTTATGGTAGGAATATTAGCTAGGCAAGTAAGATCTTTAAATTTACTCTCCATCGTTTTATTATCTTCGTTCCCCTAAAATTAAGAGTCTCCCTTGAATTGGGGAAAAAAAAATACTACTAATTATCCCGCCTCAATTTCAATACATAATATAAGTCCAAGATATGCAAGAATCTAATTATAAGAAAGAAAATTTGATGTCACAATCTCTCATCTATAAAAATAAAAAATTTGTATTCTCACAGATTCAAAACATTATCTCGATATCCTTATTCTATGAATAAAAAAATTAATTAATTAATCCTCTTGATAAGTGACAATTATCTCGATATCCTTTTTTTTTAATTAATTTAAATATTTTTTAGGAAAAAAATAAATTGAATTGAAGAAGAATCTAGATAAATTGAATTGAAAAAGAATATCTGTGACAGCATATAATAAATGTGAATATCTGCTATATACTACTCCCTCCGTCCCACTTTGATAGTCTTGTTTTCCTTTTTCGTCTGTCCCAAATTGTAGTCCACTTTCCCATTAAGAAATGTAGTTATCTTTCAAATTGTCTAAAATACCCTTATTAAATATCTTGTTATTAATACATTGTTATTAAATACTAACCCACTACATTGAATACATTGAGTTTTTCCAATACTAACCCATTAACTGTAACTGATATTAATTGGCACTCTTCGTGATCAGCATAAGGGTATTTTAGGAAATTATTAATCTAAATTTATGTTTCCAATCAAATTAATTACACTTTTTTAATGTGTGTGAAAAAAAAAATCAAGACTAATAAAACGGGACGGAGGGAGTAATAAAATGCATGAATACTATCTAATGTCTAAGAGGGATGGAATTGTAAAAACATCCCATTGAACCCCCACATTCAATATTTGGTGATTAGCTGAAAAATCTCAGTCGAAGATCGTGATATATATATATATATATATATATATATATATATATATATATATATATATGTATGTATAGATACAGTCTCCCTGTTTCTTATTCTGCCTTCTCTCGTGACTGCATCTCTCTCTCCTGCTCCAACTCTCTGTCTTTCTCCAATTTCCTCATAAGAAACAACTTAAATATAAACACGCTTTCTTCATTTATTCATTCTTTGCCAAGGTTTTCGCAGCCTTGTACATGGTCATGGACGCATATTCATTGTCTTTTCCCTAAATTCATTCCTTTTTCCTCTCCTCCTTTTCTCCCTTTCTCTCCATATTCTTGGAACCCCACAAACCAAAAGAGCCAGCCAACATGCAAACGCTGGAGAATCAGTTTCACGAAGCCAGCTTAAACCCACTGTTTTCTTGAACTTTTCAGTAAGAAAGAAAGAAAAAGGCTGGTCTTTTCTGTTTACAGAGAAAAGGGAGAAAAGATGAAGCACGAAGAACAAGCTCGGTTCCTTTTTGGGATTTCTTTAACTGAATGGCCTAAATGGAAGCAGTTCCTTATTTGCTCTTCTGGGTTCTTCTTTGGTTATCTCATCAATGGCATCTGTGAGGTACGTGTATGTGTATTGCAACCTCTAATTATCTCTGAAAAGGGAGAAGCGAATCTATAATTGCATTTATTCTTGATACTCTGTTGTCATAAAAACATATTGAAAGAGATCAATTACAAGATTATGAAGCAGAAGTATTGGGGCACTAGTTGTGAGGGATCGGATAGAATTTTGGTTATTTTTCTTCCTTTTTTTTTTTTTGCTAGTTTTGCTGTATTGGTAATTCTCATGTTTTTTTGGGGCAAGTATCTTGATCACGAATTACTGAATACAGAAGTCAGTTTCTTTATTATGCTTGAACTTGCTTTTCCAATGACACAAGTCTGCGAGATACTAAGTGCTTTCTATTTTTGGGTTTAGTTGAATTTAGCAGTATTTTTTGGAGTAATGTATTCTGCAACTCGTTTTGATCCTAAATATTGTCGCCGTCAGCATTTATGTTAGTTTCCTGTGCAATCTCCGTGTTAAATAATTTTTGCATGGGTCCCATTTTGGACTTACTTTTGCATTTAGCACAGAAATTTATCATAGAGATTGTACTGTAAACTTAAAATTTTAAATTCGCAAAGCTGTTAGCTATCTTTCGATTGTTTCATATTCCTTTTTTCTTTTCATCTTGTGACTTTGTGAGGAAGAGCGGCAGGGAAAGAGGAAAGCTCCTTAAATTGCTAGCAACACCTTTTTTTTTTGGCTGATTAATATGTCACTTCTTGTACTTATTAGGTTGGTAAATGGTCTCATTTTTTCAATTTTCTGATGTCTATTTTTAGGATTCTTGTATTTGTGCATCCACATTATGCTTAATTGTCATTTGAACGGAACTCTTTTCTTTTCTTTTTTTCAGGAATATGTATACAATAGGCTCCAATTCAGGTGAGCTTTTGCTGTTACACATAGTTCTTGATATTCAAAATGGCCTACAAAAGATGAGTTCTATTGCAGTGAGTAATCTGGTCTTAATTAATGTCCGTTCTGCCTTCTTGTAGCTATGGCTGGTACTTCACGTTTGTCCAAGGATGGGTGTATCTTTTACTGATTTACTTGCAAGGCTTCACACCTAAGCAAATGGTGAATCCTTGGAAGACTTATGTAAAGCTGTCTGCTGTGCTTATGGGTTCACATGGACTTACCAAAGGTTCATTGGCATTTCTTAATTATCCGGCCCAGCTCATGTTCAAATCCACCAAGGTGAATCCATAGCTTTCTTACCATTTGTATAGTATTTGCATTGAAATTAATCTTTCATGCACTTGTTTTTTCAACTTATGCATCATACATCCCCTTGAAAAGCAGAGTAAATAGTCTGGATGTTGATATTATGATTAGGCTGCCAAATATGAACTAAAGTCCACATCTAGGCAAAAGTCTTGACAAAATTGTAATATGGATGCCAATTCACTTAGCTTTTTCATTACCTTGTAGCCTAGCATTTTGCAGGCGCTGGCTCTCTGAGGATGGGTGGCCTTCTGGCTTGCTTCTCATCAGATTGATGCAGTTTGCTTGAGGCTTTAAAAGCCTGAGATTGCTTGAGATCCGACTACAGAAGAGCTTTCATTTTCTTATGTTATAAAAATGACTTGTATTTTGATGCGCCTGATCTTTCTGCATCGATGATTTGCATTCACTGTCTTTGTGGTTCACAAGTTCGTTAATTTGCTGCATTTTCCAGGTTTTGCCTGTGATGATAATGGGCGCCTTCATTCCAGGATTAAGACGGAAATATCCTCCTCATGAATATGTATCTGCCATCCTCTTAGTTGTGGGCTTGATTCTTTTCACTTTGGCAGATGCACAAACTTCGCCAAATTTTAGTGTAGTTGGTGTTATAATGGTGTCTGGTGCTTTGATTATGGATTCTTTTCTGGGGAACTTGCAAGAAGCTATCTTTACTATGAGTCCTGAAACAACCCAGGTAAGTAGCATTTGATCTCATTAATTTGCAAGTCTTCAAGTATGCAAAACTAGTCATGGTGAAGGTATGATACTTGTTCTTCCATTTCCATTGTCTTGGCAGATGGAGATGTTGTTTTGTTCAACTGTTGTTGGCTTACCGCTCTTGATTCCACCAATGCTTTTGACAGGAGAACTATTTAGGGCATGGAGTTCATGCTCCCAGGTACATGCTCAACGGTCATCTTTTAATTTTCTCTAACCTTGTACAAACCTTGATCATAATTTCTTGCTTTGCAGCATTTGTATGTATATGGTGTTCTGATCTTCGAGGCCATGGCTACCTTTGTCGGGCAAGTCTCAGTCCTTTCCCTCATTGCCCTCTTTGGCGCTGCCACTACCGCCATGGTACGTTCATTTCATTTGCATTCTTCCTTCACCTTGAAATTGTGCGACAAAGGCAGCAACAATTCAGGCACTATAGGAATGTTTTCAGCTAGCATTTGTTTCAGTGACGCATTCTAAACTTCGTCATACAAACTGGTTCTCAGTTCATGACATCGATCACACGCACTGATCAATGCCTAGAAGCAAATTTTAAGTTTTCTTGGGTAAGAAAATTCAAGTTCTTTACTCTGCCTGACTCTATTGATATCTCACAGGTTACCACAGCGAGGAAGGCGGTAACGTTGCTGCTGTCCTATTTGATATTTACTAAGCCACTGACTGAACAACATGGAACTGGGTTGCTTCTTATATCTATGGGAATCATACTGAAGCTATTGCCTGATACTAAGCCCCGCAAGCCATCTGTAGCCCAAGCTCCTGCCTCCAGGGCCGGAAAACCATCATCTAGCAATGGGAGCAATTCTCAGATGGAAATTGAGGAAGAGGAAGAGAAAAGACCATTAGTCTGAAATTTGGATGTTTGAAACTGTAATTTACGTTCATTTTATTGATGATCTTACGAATAGATAGAGAGTAAAAAGTAGACGAGGAGTATAGTAGATTTTATGCTGTTGTTTGCCTTCTTCTTTCTCTTGGAAGGAAAGTTGCGTTGATGATTTTAATATACTTCCTGCTTGCTCCGTCTTACTTTCCAAGTCACATTGAGCATATTGGGAATGGGAATGGGGTTCTCAAGAGATTGAAGTTTTTGGGGATTGTTTCCCAGCAGAAAACACATAAAAAATTGTCTCATGGAATGGCAAGGGGACCCTTAAGGGGCTATTTATATGTAACTTTCATTGGATATTGACAATAAAAAAAAAAAAAAAAAGCGGCTGTGTTGGGCTCAAAACCTCAACATGGCATGGTGTTTGAACGTTTAGTATAAAGCCGGTTGTGCAAAAGAGCTCAAGGGGTTGTTGTTAGGTTAGGAGTGCGAAAGAATCAAATTCAATTGAATGGCTTGTGAGATTATTTGGTCAAAACTTGAATGAGTCGAATTCAATTGAATAGCTTGTGAGATTATTTGGTCAAAACTTGAACTCAGACTTGTGTCGATTGAATTTGAACTCTAATTTGAACCGTTGGAGTTTTTTGACGAAATCAACCTCAAGAGCTATTTAACGAGTTCAATCTCAATCTTAATATATGATGTTCAAAACTTATTGAATTTAATATAAAATATCTATTTTGTCCGTTATTTAATTATATTTTTTAAACTCGATTAGGCTCGCTTAGATTCATTTGAGCTCAATTAAACTTAATTTTCGACTTTGAGCTCGAGTTTAAATAAAGTAAAATAAAATTATACTCGAACTCAAATTCAAACTCGATTCTCAATAATTCAACGAGCTCGAACACGATCTCAAAATTTTTAAATTGACTTGACATTGAGTAATGCACTCTTTAATTTTGGCTCAATTCAGCCGTACCCATATCTGACAAAAAGGCTGGCAACCAAACGGAACCGGGGGCCGGGGGAGGAAAGGAATTTTTTTAATCTTTAATACATTGTGGGACCCGACCCGTATTGCTGGTAAATACTACGAGATGAAGCCACGCGTAAGTTCCTTTAACATGCAACTCCAAGACTAGCAGCTGTCGGACACGTGTAAGCTCCTTTAACATGCACGGTGAGGAGTGACACATCCACCATTTTTACGGCCACTCGCGTCGCCATTCATTCTTTTACTCGCGGCTTCAAACTTCAAAGATCGAATCCTCGCAAAAATCTGTCTTATTTATTTAGCTGCAAAACAGGAGATATACAACTAGGCCGGGAAAGAATGGTGGATGACAAAAATGCTAGTACCATCAATCCCTTGCTCCAGCCAGTAATATTGGTGGGGCATGGAGGTCATATTGTTGATGAGGAGGGCACCGATAGTGAGAGGCCAAAAGAACCATGGAAAAAAGAGTACGCGAAGAGCATTGTTTATGCTGGTTTGGATGCAATTGTCACTTCCTTTTCTCTCATCTCCTCCATCTCTGGTGGCCACCTCTCTTCCGGTTAGTCCATAGATCAATCAATAATGTGTGTGGTCCATATTATGATATTCTCATGCCAGACAGTCAATTGCATTTTTTTTTTTATTTAGCAACCTACCGATAGAGTTATGTATTTAGAATCTTAGATTCACGTCTAACAAGAGGTTGGTCCATCGTAAGATAATTTATAGGGAAAATTTTAGAAACCTCTTCTGAGATTTCTGACACTTTCACCGATCTTCCCTTAAAGTTTTAGCAATTACGCCGACCTCTCCTGTCAAAAAAATTTAGATCACATAACTTACATAATTTAACATGCAGTGAAAGTACTACTTTGTCCTGAGACATTAGACTTTATTACAAATGGATATTTGACAAAAAAAAAAAAAAAAAAAAGGTTAGGGCACTAAATAAATAAGATTAACTAATTGAATCAGAATAACAGTTGTTTCATCTCAAATTAGCAACCATAATTACCATCAGAAAATGGCGTCAATTGCTACCCTAAGATGGCATGGCATCATTTTTGTGATTGACATTGCTTGACAATGAGAAGGACAGATAATCTTATATAATATGCATGGAAGGATTTTATGAGTAAGAGAAATAGATGGTTTTTATGCCAGGCTTGTATTTGTTGACTCTTGTGTGGAGAGACAAAACTAATTCATGCTTTTATTGCTGATTTCTTGACTAAGACCTGTATGTGTTTTTTGCACCAATACTTTACTTTCACCTCACCAGCTACAATTAAAAAAAATTAATTTTGTTACCTCAAGTTTAGATGCTTGTTATATGACAGTTTAGATGTTTTGGTATTAGGATTTTCAAATCTTGTAGCTGATGGGATATCGATGGGATTTGGGGATTTCATTTCAACCAGTACCGAGAGGGACATGGCTGCAAACGAGAGGTCGGTGACCGAGTGGGAAGTAGCCAATCACGGAAGGCCGCAAGAGCAAGAATTGCTCCAAAAATACCAAGACCTAGGGATGACTCCTAGTGACGCAACGACGGTGGTGAGCGTATTAGCCAAGTACAGGGACGTAATGGTCCATGAAAAACAGATGTTACCGCCGGACCAAACAGAGAAGCCATGGAAAAGTGGCTTGGTCACTTTTGCAGCTTTTATCGTGTTTGGCTGTGCGCCGCTCCTAGCTTTTATTATCCTCATTCCATTCACGAAGAATGATGCTCACAAGTTTGTCGGTGCCTGTGTTTTTTCTAGGAATTAGAATTTAGGACCTCTAATTCAGCCCTAAGCCTTGGGGGCCTTATATTGGTCATTTTATTTAACCAAATCTTGAAATTTTTATTGGTAACTAATTAAATGTTGAGCATTTTATTTGCTTTTTTTTTGGATGGTAGAAATCCACGTATAAAGCAGTAAGGTAACATCTCGAATATTCACCAAAACTCCCCAACGTTTTCTGAAAACTCTTAAAATAGCTCCCAAGCCCATCGCTCGGCTGCCTAGCTTCTATATGTCTTAGATTTATGTGACTGTTAATTCATTACAATTGTTAGGAGGTTCTGAATTCAATTTTTTTTTGCTCTTCCGTTTTTATATTCCACCGCTCTTCGCTAGAAAAAAAATTCATTGCAATTTGTAAATTCGGTAGTAATTGTACTTAAATGTAGATAGATGTTTGCCTTTTTTTTTTTTTTGGAGAATTTGATTGTGCTTTGTGTAGACAAATTTAAACTTCGTTTGGCAAGTAAATTTTTTGAATATTTATCTAAAATTTTACTGTAGCTTACTGTAGAAGTTTTTAAAAAAAATTTTGAAATATATAAATTTTTTGAAATATATAATTTAAAAATTTTAAAAAATTTTTTGAGATTACTATAATTAACGTTTTTAAAAAACTCGTCGCAGATAAACTTGGCAAGAAAACTGACCTGCTAAACAAGGCCGTTATTTTAATTAACATTGACAGTACAACGGCTAAATTTTGGGTCAATTTGTTCATTTTTGGTCAAAATTGAAAGCATCAGGGGTCAGAATTTGTTTTCATCAAACTTTTGGTGATCAATATTGAAATCATTAAGGACCTAATTTTTTCTAGCGTCTAACGAGTTACGACTTCTGTCAATCCAAAGCTAGCAGCTTGAAGGATTGACCCACGACCCGGTATCTTTCTGACGCCGGGTTTTTCCAAAAACCAGCTCAGTTTTGACCTTTTCTTTCAGAATCCAGCAATCTGTAATCAGACTAAACAGTAGAGAAGAAGATCGAATGGCTTCATCTACAGCTCTCCGAGAGTTACAGCGGGACCTGGAGAACAAAGCCAACGATCTCAGCAAACTTCAAAAAGGCAATTCCTTTCCCCCCCAGTCCCCTTCCTTTCTAACCCTAATTTATTATTGCGTCAACATTTTTTACTGATTTAATCTCATTAACTCTTCAGATATTGCGAAGAATCACCAAGTCCGGAAGAAGTACACGATTCAGCTCGGCGAAAATGAGCTCGTTCTCAAAGTATTAATCTAGCTTCGTCCTCTGTCTACGCTGTTTTCGAGTGTTTTTTTTTTAAAGCTTTGTATTTAGTGAAAAGTTTGATATTTTGTGAAGGAATTGGAATTGTTGAATGAAGATGCAAATGTTTTCAAGTTGATAGGACCGGTGCTAGTAAAGCAGGATTTAGCAGAGGCCAGAGCCAATGTCCGGAAGCGAATTGATTACATCTCGGCTGAATTGTAATGCCGTCTTCTTTATCTATGTTTCTTTTCTTCTTTTTAGCTTATCAAGTCCTTTTGGTCATCCAGTATCAGTTGATTGAATTCTCCCTTTAATTTTATGAACAAAGTATCTTCTGTTTTCGTTTTTTTTTTTCCTTTTTGGGAATTAAATTGAAGTTAAGAACTTGTTGCTGGTCACTAGTGGTGTAGTAAACTTGGAAGTCAATTTGAGTGTGTGAAGTAACAATTCTTGTCATTGTATTTTCTTGTGGTTGTTGATAGAGATTATTAAGCCCTATCTTACTCCGAATTACTTGATCATTGGTTGCTACGAGTGATAGTGATTAAGTTTCTGAATCTTTTATTTGTTGTAAGTTGTGTCTATTGGGACTCCGACTTTTAGCCTATTCAATAGAGTAATTTTTTAGAAAGTGAAGAAATCAATTATTGAATCAATGAGCCAATTGAACTGTCAAATGCTACGTTTTTGTTTGAACCTGAGTCTTAGATCAGGAAAGTATTTGGGCTGTTGGGAAAGAATGCAAAGAAGAGCATGCTTTTTTGATGGCCTATGATGCCTAACAAGGGAATGACCGAAGGAGCAATTTCAAGATTCTTTATTTATTTATTTATTTTTTGCCCTACTCTCGTTTATTTGTCAGACAGAGCATATCTGGACAAGTTGAATGTGAGTGACAGAGCAATTTTCGTGTGCTTGTAACAAAGAGTGGAAACACATGTTGTTTGGAGGTTCAAAAGAATTGTAGTTGCTGCATCTGTGCACAACATTAAGCAGCAAATAAAAGGATGACATGTAATTTTTGATATAATAATTAAACACGGACACTTTTTGGTCTGTGTATAGAGTTAGAATTCAGAATTTTAGATTCTGTTACCAGAAATTTATGCTCACATTCTTCTGGTACTTTCTTGTTCACTATGGCACTTCTTGATAATTATGTTTGGTCTAGGCTGAGATTTTCAAGTGGAAACAAAGATTATGTTTTGCTTTCGAAGAACATATGAAAGTGGATTATCTGCGTCAAGATTTGTAACTCTTGACCTCCATTAGGCATAAATTGGATACCTTGGTAGAGAAAGTAGTGATGCCAGTTGTTTCAGTACTTTAGAGGTTTAGCAGGTACAGATGGTATTAAGTATGGCATAGGCCGCTTGGGCCTTGTAGGATAGTAAATATTTTATTATTTCCATTGAGAGGAAAACTACCCATTTATTGGGGTTCAGTTCCCTGGAACTTTTGGAAAGTTTCTTCAGCTAAGTGGGACAAGCCCCCTCCTCAAAATGTATTAGGAAACATGATAATAGGTTACCTGAGCTGCAATGCAAGTTGACTTTAGCTGTCATGGTTCAAACATGGAATACATCATTTTTAATTTTCTTGTAAATCTTCTTCTTTTCCAAACTTTTTTGAGTGCAAAAGTCCCTTGCTTGGAAATTCCTATACCATTTTTATGTATTTGAGAGTCATCAATAAGCATTTTTAAACCTCAGAGTCGAGTGGGCCATTTTTTTTGTCCTTGTTTTCCAATTTTGAGTTTCCTGCTTTGACATGTGCAACCCCTTACATTCACTTTTTATGCACAGGAAGCGTTTGGATGCTACTCTTCAGGATTTGGAAGACAAGCAAAAGAGCAAGCAAGAAACGGTTTGTGGCATTCTTCAGTAAATATTGCTGCAACATTCATTAGTTAAGATCAGTAGTGATATAACATTATGACAGTCACCCTGTATATCTTTGTGCACAGTGAGAATCAGATTGTGATCATGCTAGTGTTATCTTCTCCAGTTTTAACTGTCCTTATTTTTAGTATCTAAATTAACCTTTTAAATGCAATCTGGACCCCATTGTCCTTTGTTCCGTAAGAATAAGTTAGATTAATATTAGCATATTATGATTGTTCGTCTGTTTGGGTTTCAATATCCATGTCACACCACACCCTCCTAGTCCAGGAATCTTCATTAAGAGTTCTTAGATGCATGGTTTTTACCTCTTCTTCCTCTTCTTACTGCAGACTATTGTTGGTCAACTTTGTTGCTTTTTTTGTTTATCATTGAACTAAAAGTTTTTTTTTTCCCCAAATCAATTGTAGGGTCCGTTTGGATTAGCTGTTTTTGGGGTTGTTTTTCAAAAACAGCACTGTAGCATTTCGTTTTTCAAATACAAGTCCGTTTGGATTAGTTATTTTTGGGGTTGTTTTTCAAAAACTATATGAAAAACTTTTACTGTAGATGTTTTATGGATTATTTTTAGATGTATTTTTAAAACATATTTTCAAGTGTTTTTATAATTTATAATTTTTATATTTTTATAACAATAAATATTTATGCATTTATAATACTTTTATAAATATTTATAAATAAATATATTTATATATTTATATAAAAATATATAAATTATAAATGTATAAATTATAAATGAATATCATATAAATGTAAAAATGTATAAATTATAATTTCCAATTTTTATATTATTATATTTATATACATTTATGCATTTATAATACATTTATAAATATTTATAAATAAATAAATTTATATATTTATAAATAAATATAAATGTATTATATTATATATAATAAATAATATAAATACATTTATAAATATATAAATTATAAATGAATATCATATAAATGTATAAATTATAATTTATAATTTATATATTTTTATATTTATATACATTTATGCATTTATAATACATTTATAAATATTTATAGATAAATATATTTATATATTTATATAAATATATGTAAATGTATTATAAATGTATTATATTATATATAATACATAATATAAATATTTTTATAAATGTGTAAATGAATATTATATAAATGTATAAATTATAAATTATAAATTATATATTTATTTATAAATATATTTATATATTTTTGTAAATACCTTTATAAATATTTATAAATGAATATTTATAAATATTTATAAATGAATATTTATATATATTTATAAATAAATATTTATATACATTTATAAATGAATATTTACATATATTTATAAATAAATATTTATATATATTTATAAATGAATATTTACATATATTTATAAATGAATATTTACATATATTTATAAATAAATATTTACATATATTTATAAATCAATATTTATATATATTTATAAATGAATATTTACATATATTTATAAATCAATATTTATATATATTTATAAATGAATATTTACATATATTTATAAATGAATATTTACATATATTTATAAATAAATATTTATATATATTTATAAATAAATATTTATATATATTTATAAATAAATATATAAATGTATATTATTATAAATATATAAATTATAAGTGAATATTATTTAAATGTATAAATTATAAATTATAAATTATAATTTTTATATTTATATATTTATATACATTTATGTATTTATAATACATTTATATATATTTATAAATAAATGCAGTTTTGTATTTATAAATGCATTTATATTATATATAATACATAATATAAATGTATTTATAAATGTATAAATGTATGTTATTATAAATGTGTATAAATTATAAATGTATAAATTAATATATTATAAATATATATATTAATATTATGTATAGGTGTATTAATATAATAAATATAAATGTATAAAGGTATTAATATCATGTATAAATGTATAATTAATATTATGTATATTAATATAAATGTATAAATGCATAATATTATATATAATACATAATATAAATGTATATTATAAATATACATAAACATATATATTATGTATATATTAAATATATAATTTTTAATATTTAATATTCATAAATTTGTATAATTACATATTTATATTATATATAATTTATATAATACATAATATTTGTATAAATATATTATAGAAATATAAAAATATATTTTATATAAAATAAAATATAAATTAATATAATATATATATCCTATACATAATTGAAATATACAAATTGAAATAAACATATTAAATATGTATTTGGAGTTGTTTTTGATATATTGTTTGGATATAGTGTTTTTGGAGTTGTTTTTGAAATACACATTACTGTAGCATTTGGAATGTGAAAAACAGTTTTTCAAAAACAGACTCAAAAACAATGAATCCAAACAAACCCGTAGGTTTTCAAATTACAACAGAAAGTCCAGTCGTTCCAGGCTGGAAAGGGCAAGGCATAATATGTTGAAGAAAGTTTTTTTGTCGAGGGAGAATAGATCTTGCCAGTCTCACTGATACGCACCCGCCTATGTTCTCATTTGATACATATAAAGCATCAATTAATTGCTTATCCTGCATTATCGAATTCTATTGGAAAGTTCGATGTTGCACATCATGGTTTCTGAAAGTTGATTAATGTTCCTTACTCCAGAGTAATAGTTTTTCTCTTTATGTGTCGCATCTTCTTGAATGGTTGTATCATAGGTTTTGATTATTTTTGAGAAGTGATGTTTAGAGGTTGCTTTTATTCCTGGTTTCTGTGAGTGGTCCTACAGACATTAATTCTGAATATCCCTTTTTTTGTTTCTGAATATGATATGCCTACAGTCGATTACAATTTACAGCGACTGAAGAGCCATAAATTTAATATGCCTACGCTCGATACCTTACGAGTCATTGTTTGTACAAAACAGTGAAAGGAACTGCCTTCTCTTGTCGGTGGTGAGACAACAGCCAGCATTGTCGGCTGAGAGAGAATTTACCTATAGGATGTCAAAATGTTGACTTAAGGCACGAGCGAGCTTAGGGAATATTTCAAAACTATAGGATGGCTGATTGGACTTTCAGTGTAGAAGTTATTATGTTAGCAAGCTCTTGCCAATGTAACAAAACTAGTGATATGAAATTATTGCAGTCCATTCATTAACAAGTTTAGAGATCTTATGATCTTCTCCCATTTGAATGTCTCATGTTTTCTCAGAAAATTATTTTTATGTCTTATCTTTTCAGAAAGGAGGAATTTGTCAAAAGGGGAAATAAAATTCTGAACTTATTTGATTCAGCATCTTACAATCCCCTGGCATCTAATTTTGGTTTTATGTCCTATTAAAGGTTTTTCATTTTAAAATTGTTTGCCTGAGCTCAACTGAATTACAAGATCAGAAAGAAGCTCATCCAACAGATAATTCAAGACATGAATCTCCAGCTCACGGCCGAGCTCTTGCTGCTCCTCATCAAACTTGTCCCATCTGAGTCCATTTTCCACATCCCTAAGAGAGGCCTCTGCCTTCTCCCAATCAAATGTACCATCGCAATGTTCCCTGCCTATCCAAGATTTTGCTAGTCTCAGAAGTTCATAACCAGCTGGTTCAGCATCTTCTTGCCTTTTGCTTGTAGTAACAGCCAATTCATGCCTAAAGAAATCCAGTAATAGATGGTTTTCATCAGCTTCAAATCTCTTGGCCGAGGAGGCAGTTGCTTTGACTTGGCTCAGTAATTCCCTGGCCTTTGCTTCCACTGCATTTGATTCTTCATCCAATTCTTCGGCTATGGAATCTTCTTCGGTGGCAAGTCCTTCCTCCAAGTCAAAGGTCTCCAGTTTAGCAAGACTTTCAAACTCTTCGATCCTTTGCATAAGTATACATTTCCTCCCTGCAAATTTTTATGAATTATTATTACATTTCCTCCTTGATGCTGCAGTAATAATATTGACTCATAAAAGTGGGGAATTGAAGGATCTCCAATCAATTAGTGGTCAAATCATTTGTGTGTGTCCATCTAGTGTAATTTTTTTTTTGGGCCAACCACTAGGCAAATTGTACAAGTTTTTTCACCATATAAGACTTTCTGAGCTACAAGTCAAAGAAGAAATTTGTTGACCGTTTGTTAACTTCCTATGGCACGCCAGAATTGCTCAAGATTCTAGGGTTTCTTCTTTACGAATGGGAAAAAATTCCCCTTAGAGATATCGAGTTTGACAGAAAAAAGAAAAAACTGAGGTCTGAAATTTCAACCAGTGCAAAAGCTGAGAGATTCGAGACATACTTTCCATGGTATCAATGCTTCGATTGAAGAAAGAAACGAATCCTCCATCTTCGCGAAATGGTGAGTTATCAAGAACTGAAACTGGGCTGTGTAGCTCGTTCTCATCAATTGAAAATTGCCCCTGCAGATGAAGTTGATTGATGAGTACTTGTAAGTTAATACCACTCAAATTATGGATATGGGATATGCTTGCATTAAAAGTACGTTTATCTATATATGAGACTCACCTCCATTTTTTTCCTGTTGTGGTCCATGAACTCAGTATTTTGATCACCACCCCATGAAGGTAAATCTTCAGCAGTAAAATCCCTCTCATACCAGCTGGTTGAAAGTTCTTCCACCACGTCCCTGAATGATTTCCATCGTAAAATGTCCTTGATTTTGGGTGTAGCCACTGAGACCTCTTCAGCCCCAGGAACAACAGGAGCAAGTTTACTGTCTTTATGATCCCTGCTTCTGGATAGCTTGCGCGAAATGCTTCTTGGTAAAATGGAATGAGATTTCACCATGGAAGCAAACGGTAAAAACTTAATGGCATTTATCACCATTTCTGAAGCCTTGTGGATGGCAGAGATTGAAATAGAAGTGGCTTTCGAACGACTTCTGAGTAGCTGAGTATTGGATGAATTCTTGTGAAACGAATTCATGAAACGGCCATTTGAAGAACACGACGGTGCTGAATCATCTGTGAGAAAATCTTTGAGCAACCGCGGTCGCCTCTCACAAGAATATGAAGCAAGTCTGGGTGATGAAGATGAAGCCATTGGCTAGCTTTTTCCCTTGATTAAATTCGCCGAATGGAAACTATAGCTTATTTCAAAAAAAAAACGCAGGATTAATTACCAGGATGTAGGGTTTTGCTTTTACTGGTCGGGAGGATGGAGCTGGGGTGCTATTTATATATAGCACCAGGGAATGAGAAGGAGAGTGGCAACTTCGGGTGCGCTTAATTAGGTGAAGGGAACAATGTAACGTGAGGAAAAAGACAAACACGGACGTAGAAGCATGGATACTTCTTGTGTTGTAGCTTAGGATTCTTTAATATTAACTCTGCAAATTTTTTAGACATGAAAACCGGAGAAATCTCAGGCCTTGTTTTAAGTATCTTCCGCTGTATTGCGAGATTTTTTTGTCCTCAAAGATGTCGGAGAAAAAAGCAGATTCAGCCGTCCCAACTATGGCCAAATTTGGTGCGAGTTAGATCTGTGTTACTGTGGTTAGTGGACATGGCCGCATGGGGAATATTGTTCTTGGTAATATTTCAAGATTTTGTTGTTAGGGACAGAATTTATTACGTCGCGTGTACAAGGGTTATTAATGCTTTATCAGATACTTGGTGAAGACATGACTAGAGTAAAATTCAATTCAACCCTTTCCATGCATTTGCCATTACACATACTGGCTCACAAAGTTTCTTACTACAGGGGGAACACTGCGTTGGCTCGTCACCTTGTGTCCGAATGCTACTGTCGATCTAATTGACTGTATTAACTGAGTGATTTATAATTTCCTCGCTAAGCATCTATGGTTTCAAAGACTAAAAGTATATTGTGGCTCGTACTTATAACTATAGAGCTGAAACTACCTAAATAGTATTTTTTTTTTTTTATTTTACCAGAAACAAGCTTCTTATATTGTACACCTAATGCAGTATGCTTTTCAATGAATGTCTTTACGTTTGGAGCGTAAATTGAATCCTCACCTCTCCCTTGTTTCCTTCTTTTCTAAGTAGGCAGGAGGTCTTGAATTCTCTTACTTAACGATCCCATTCAATTTTATCACCTAATCCAACGCTCTTCGAATCTTCACCTTTGGAAAGTAGATCTTCGACGTAGACCCTTTTTTTTCCTATAGTATAGTAATAATTAAATTACTGAATACATGCATTCAGTTCTACCTACTTGCTGAGGGAGTTGATGGTGTCTGTGTACTACACGAACTATTTTAGCACATGTATACTTGTCTGGACTTGGACTCTGGAAGCTGCTAGGTATTTGATGTGTTTTACTGTAGAATGATGATCTGTATTCTTTCTCCTTTTTTTTTTAAAAAAAAAAAATTGCAGTTTACTATTCATGAGTTCATGCAGCAAACAACAAAATCCTTCAAGGGAATCTTACAATATGATCAAACGCGTTGAATTAATCAGTTGTTTTGTCGCCAGGCCAAGAACAAAATGTTTGTCTGCCTGTCATGTAGATAGGTGACAAATGCTTGATTTAATTTGTAATTTAACTGCCAAGCAAGCAAACATAAGGTAATCAGTTTGTACTTTAGCATTGAGGTGTCTAGTTGACTGACTCCTAAACCAATTGTCTAATTATTGAGTTGATGATCATCCGCAAATCCCTTGGCGTTTTCTCTGAGTCATGAGATGTTACTTGAATAAAGTTTCTTAAAAACTAGTAGCATGATCTGGGTATTCTTACAAGTGATTTTGCCTTGCTTGCTGCTGTATAAACTTCTTTAAGTCATTTTTCTCTTTGCTTACTCTATAATGAAAATTTACAGAATGAGGCTGAGAGGGCCTGGAAATTTGCTTTTGTAGCAGTCAGAAGAACCCATTGTGATAGAAGTAAAATTCTTGGTCTGGCCTTTGAAGTGTCCTAAGCTTTAAATGATTATACCATTTTATAAAGTAAATACTCTGATTCAACTAGAATATCCATAAAACCATCCTATCTTGCTCAAGTTGGTTCCTTGTGGAATTAGAAAAGCTCTTCTATCTACTCAGTAAAAGCAAGGAATTGCCTTTCACAAACTTTTTTTTGGGAGAGGGGGATGGGGGGCGGTGATCTCATTAATTGCTAGGATGAAGAATCAATTGCAAGAAAGAGCAGATAGTTCGAACTCTGAATATTTGATAATTAATCCTTCCACACTCAACTATCAGGTATAGAATTCGAACTCTGAATCTAACCAGTGAGAGAAGATTTTAAAAGCTCTCGACTTTGGGGTTAGTTGTATACTCCCTCCCTTTTTTTATAACTGACGTTTAAAGTTTTGCACACTAATTAAGAAAAGTTTTTCATTGTTTAAATCTATACACTACTTTCCTTTTGTACCCTCATTAATTGTCCAATTCACCCATGTTTTCTCTCACTAGAGTATTAAATAGTGCTGTTTTACTAGACCAAAAGCAATGCAAACTAACTCCCACCAATTATGAAAAGAGAGATAAAAGGGTAAAATTGTGAAAAAATAATTAATGCTGCATGGGGATTATAAAACGATAGATAAAAGTACTTAAGAGCAAATTTCTTAAACGTCAGTTATAAAAAAAGGGAGGGAGTATATAGGTGGCAAATCAACCCATTGAATTAAATTTACCCATACCCGTCCACGAATAGATAGGTATGAGTATCTTAAATTTTTGCATATGGGTATAAATGAGTAATGGGTATTATTGGGTAACCCATGAAACCCAATTAACCCATTAATAAATGGGTATTATTGGGTAACCCATGAAACCCAATTAACCCATTTAGAATTGTCTTTCCCCAAATCTCTTTTCTTTCCCCACCCATTTTTTTTTTTCAGATTTTTCATTTTGTCATGATGTTAACTACTTTAGTTTCATTATTACATTATTTGTTGGTTTTGTCTTATTATTTTATTTTCTCTTAGTTTGTTAACTTGCTCATTTTTTCAACATTACCAATTTATGATGATTTTTAACCTCTTTTCCTATCTTTTCAAAATGAAATTTTAAATTTATATATGAAAAAAATGTTAGGGGTTCAAAATTTTTGGATTAAGTTTTTATGTTAGCTTTTGTAGTACTTAGTTCAATTTTTTATATTATTATTATTCAATTATTAAATAGCATGTAATTTTGCGACATAAAGTACGGATAGGAAAAAAATTGATAATTAGGCTTATTGAACATTATAAGTAAATATTTAAAACTAATGATGGGTGCAAAAGGCGATATAAATTGATAACTTAGTTTGCAAAAATGAATTTAAATGAGTTTACAAAAGTTAAAATAAATGGGTTATAAATGGGCAATTTGGTTACCCAATTTATTTTTTGACTTACCCATTTATACGAATCTAATTAAATTGATATAAATCGGTTGACTTACTTATACCCATTACCCATTTTACTCAATCCAAACCCGTCCAAGTCGCCCATTTTGCCACCTCTAGTTGTATAGAAATATAGAATTTACTCATTTATAAAGACATGAATATTAACTCCATTATTTATTTATTTCTGGTAAGCAACTCCTCCAGTTCCAGTATTTTGAAGCCTATAAACATTGTTGAATTCTATGATTTTCTCCGCAGTCAATGGTGGCCCATTAAACATGAATGGGTAATATGATCTTCATCCATCGTTTAGTCGGCCACAGTGGCCAGCCCATATCTATATTGTATAAATTTGAGATGGGTGTTTTAACATGGTTAAATTAAAGGATTAATCTTTCTTACACTGACAGTGTATACACTATCAGTATTGGATGATTGACAATTATGCAAAATTTGAATTTGAAATTTAACTTCTGCACACATGTCATGAATCCAACGATGATAGTGTATACACCGTCAGTGTAGGAAATATTTACTCTAAATTAAAATGCTTTCAACTCTTCATTCTTTATATATATATATATATAGAATTTTAATTTTTTAAAATTATTATATATCCTTTCATGTCTTTTGAATTCAAAAAGTAAGAAGTAACTCCAATTATATAGGAATATATATATCTATATAAATTTGAAAAAAGTTTTTTAGTGTGGTTAAATTAGAATACTTCCAACTCTTTATTCTTTTTTTAATAGATTTTTATTTTTTAAACTCATTATATATCCCTTCATACTTTTTGAATTCAAAAGGTAAGAAGTGGCTTCACTTACATAGGAATTTAGTTTGAAGTATATTAATGTGAGGCTAAATAAAAAGGAAACATCACCAAACCTACTAAAAGTAAAAATGTAATAATAATATTTAACCCTTCAACTTAGTAATTCTAACTAAGAGGGCACATTATATAGAAAATAAAAAGGAAATAATATTCACTGATCATGGATTTAAAAAATCAAGAATGATAGTACCATTCATGAAACCTAAATTATGAAATCACTAACTAAAAAACAAAGTATTGCTAGCCTTTAAATATGGAAATTTTTGTTTGAAATCTTTATTTTTGATGAAATGTAATAATAAAAAATAACAATTCTACCAAAAATTAAAAAAAGTAACAATATAGTTTAAGGAAAAAAATATAGACCATTTGACCCTAAACTATATCTACTTAATTGTTTACATCTAATCCAAATTTGACCCTAATTAAATTTGAATAAGAATATAAAATCCAAATGCTAAGAATATCCATAGGTATTATTGATTATTTTATGTATTTTTATCATTTTTTAATATGTCAATCTATAACTGCTACGTCATTTTTATATAGATTGTTTTTTTTAGTTGTTGAGGGTATTATAAGATATTATTAGTTTTTTGTTTGCATTTTCAGATACCAATACTATATTGTAAAAATGTTAAACCAAAATTAAAGGTTATGATTTTCATTTGCTTCAAATTTTATCTTTCCAATTTTATTTTGAAAATACAATTATAAGTATATTTTAAGTGTAAAACCAAATTGCAAGTTATGGAATTTTTTCTTTTACTTCAAATTTTAACTCTTCAATTTTGGAGTTGAATATGGATTCAACTTATCCTTCGAAAATTTGAAATTATTCAATTCAAAATTTATATGAAAAATAACTAAAGTTGGTGTTTTTATACTTTGTATTGAATTTTCATTTTTATAATTTACTCACCAAATTCACTTTATAATAGTGTAACATTAACAATATGTTAAGTTATATTTTGAATAAAAATGGAAAAATTAGGACTCTCAAACCAATAGATGTGAGCAATGCCTATCACAGTTAATACAAAAAGGAAAATCCCAACACACACAGCATGTTATATACATATGTATGTATGTAATTCTTAAAGTATATAAAAGAAAACTATAGATTTTTTATAACATAATATTATCTCGAATGAAAAACTATAATATTACTTTATTCTAATTGGGCAAATAGAAGAAAAAGAGAAAAATGTAGGAAAGGAAAATGAAGGGGGTTGGCCGTAAGGGATAGAGGTTGGAGGGCTATCCAAAGGTTTGGGAGAATGATGAGGGGGAAGGGGATAAAAATTTAGTGACGATAATAAAAAGCTAGAGGTAAATGGAAGAGAACGATGAGAAGTTAAAAAATGTGGAGAAAAATCGAAAATAGGAAAGTAAACAACAAAGTTGTGTGAAGAGATGAGAGGAGAAAGAAGAGAATTATGGAAGTATGATAGAGATGGCAAAAAATGAAAAGAAAGAGGTACCACGGTTGGATGTGTAAAAGTCATAGG